TTGTTCCTCCACTAATCTCTGTTCCCTGTTAAAGGAAACTCGCGAAAAGCCGGTCAAGAAGCTGCCATAAAGAAAAAGGGAGGGAGTGTGTTGCCTTGAAAAGCAGATACACAGTAGACGTGCTGCCAGCTGAACCCGAAGCACAAGGCCTGGTGGTGTAGTGGTAGCACACTGCGTTAGGGCGTGAAGGGGAGTGGTTCGATCCCCTGCTGGTCCAGAGAAATTTTTGGAGAAAGGGCTCCGTTCTCGACAATTCCCGCATCAATTATTCGGACAGGTTTCGCATTGGTATTTTTGATACATATGCTATCACGATTTATGTCCCAACTTTTCAAAAGCTTAGAGTACAAATTTATCTCCGTAACGTCGAAATCTCTAGTTAACTGTCCTCCAGGAACTAAAACAGAAGCTACCTGTTGTGAATGGGCAGCAGATTGTTGTCGTTGACGCTGTTGCAAATGACGTTGTTGCGATCCAGGATATGACGATGAACCTGCCGTTGAATTTGATGATGTCCCCACATCTATTTCACTACTCGTTGTCGACGAGGATGGACTTGAATTATCTGTAAAATTTCACATTACAACCGCCTCTTTTTGTGGGCATAAAATCGGAATTTCTTTAATGTGTGATTAAAATACGTTTATTAAGACAGTTTACTGAATCTTTTCATTTGAAACTGAGAAAATGTATTACTAGAATAAAACTTTTTAAGCAAAATGAATAAAACAAATAATTTGAATAAAGTAATTTTAAATAGAACAAATAGTATGAATAAAATGATTTTAAATAAAACAAATGATTTAAACAATATAAGTAACTAAAACAATTCAACATTAAATAGTTAAGGTAAATAATGAATAAAAAATCCCAATTTTTACTATTCGAGTAAACAATATTAAAATTTTTCGAATCTTTTTTTGCATAGAAAATTATTTGCAGGAATTTTCATAAAAATTATTTATCGCACTATTTCTTCTGGAAGGAACCGCTTGAACAGCTGTATGAAACTATGTGGGCAAAATAAGCCTAAAA